CGTTCTTCTCTCAGATTTGAGATCCGGAGAGCCCGAGTAGTCTGCAATGCCAGACTCTGGAGAGAAATCAGACCGGTCATCTAAAGTGTACATCGGAGGTGGTGGAAGATCCGATCCTCCGAAATTCTCACGCCATAGTGCAGATACCGCAGCTGCCTGGCCCGGGGTTGAGAATTTCCCTCTGCGTGCTGAAACAGGAGAAGCTAAATCTTGAAAGAGCAGAGATTGTCTCCCTGATTTAGGCGTCTTGTGAGCTGTTGCACTCATTTTTTACTCAAGACAGTGTTATATCTCCCTGCAAAAAGGCAACAAATCGTTTTGCTTTTGATCACAGTTGCAGAAGAAAAGCTCTCAACATCAATTAGGTCACTCTAATCTACATGACTAGATTGGGATTTCAAAGGTTCCCGGAGTAGCAATTGTTTGGTATTCTATCAAACAGAAAAATGAGAAGAAGCTCGACGAAATCTAAAGTTTGCCGACTGGACTTTTCAACCTCAAATCATCGAGAACCGTAAACAAATAAGAAGAATCATACTATTGGAGGAATCGATGGAGAGAGATGTAGCGAACCTGGAGGTGCAGATAGAGGTGTTTGAAGCTTCCGCTTTAGGATTCCCGAGCTCGAGCTCAGGGGAGCGGAGGGAAGGAAATAAACCCTAGAATTAAGAGTCTGATGAAAACTCAAAAAAGTTCAAAGAGATTTGTGAAAATGAAGAAGATGATGATCTCGCGTTTGTAACTCACATTATATGGGCTGAATTTGGGCCTATTTGGGAATAGTCAGCCCAAACGTTTTTATTTGGCAATCAAATTTAATGGTGTGCTTCAATATTTTTTTTAGAATAAAATATATGTTTTCCAAAGTTTAAAAAAGCAATGGAGATTATTTGACTCTAAATCAATTAGATTGAAATCGAAATTATTGCCGTACGATAATATATATTATTTGACAGTGGAAAGTGAGAATTCCTAACGAAAATAATATTTCTACGGAAGTCGAGCTTCTATTACTTAATGAAATATGTTTATTATAGAATTATTATATGAATATTACTCTTTATTAAATAGCGGAACTGAAGTATTTTATGTTATTCAAAGATTTTATCGGGTTTTCAATATTATTTTAGTTACATTTAAGAGTAATCATATTAGCTACATTTAAGAGTAATCATATCGGGTTGATTTACTGGAGTGACAGTAAACCTAACAGCAATAGCTGCTCGGCCAAGATCATGCAACAAGCTTTGGAAAAACCGGACTCGTGCAACAAGAGGTGGGAAAAGTGGCTTGAAAGACTTAAGTCTCATATTTGTGAAGTTCATCCACAATGTGTAAGATAAGGGCAAGCTACTAATTTAAATAGTCTTACCTTTTTTACAAAATTTAGACACATTAGTTTGAGATTTTTATTTCTTTGTATTTTTGATTGTGTCTATTGAATCCATATATATAGCTTTTGACATATTGGACAATGCCAAAAAAAAAGAACAAGAGCTTTACAAGTAACAAAGGGCAACATTAACTTATTATTTAAACAAAGTTGTTGTTGGGTTGGGTATCCCAGTTTCCTTTAAATCTTTCTGCCAGCTAACAACACCGGGCGTTCTCTACATGAGTGAAATCCGGTCAGATCCAGAAGCAATGGCAAAGAAACCATTGGAAAGGTTCATGCCGGAAACTTTCTCCTCCTGGGACCAAACCGCTCTTAGCCTCCACGCAGTCATCGGAGCGTTTGTTGGTGATGTCTTCAGCTTCATCCTGAAAGCTGTCACCCCCATCAAGAAACCATTCATTTCCTTTTCCAGCAGGACAAATCCATAAGAGAAAATATTATATATTAAATGTTTGTGCTGAAATGATGAATTTAGACTCTCTTTTGTTGAAGTGGCAGCTTGAGAAGAGAATCACATGAACTTTATATATAGATAGATAGTCACGGCATCTATGCAGTTTTCTTTTGGTAAAATAAATAAAACTGCATGGCACTTGGGATAATTAAACCAACAAATCCTACTTCATCATGATGGAAACTTAATGGCAGATTGGCGGTAAAGTAAATTCATCCGGTTTATTTTATTTTTGCCTGTAGAGAAGCTAATCTTAGGTTTTAGTGACAATGTGAAGCCACCACAATGATATCTTTATCCGGTTTGTGCTATCTTCTTTGACTGAATAAAATAAATTAATGTCAAAGGAGAATTCTTGTTATTCCTAATTGTTTAGTGACAAAAACCGGGAGAAATTGACATCTATTTTAAACGCGGTTCTCCCTAAAGCTAAACACCAAACGCGATTTTGTGGCTGTAGGTGCGTGTCGTCACAAAGCTCACACGCTTGTCGCGTGAGAAGGTTAGGCTTTTGAAATTCCTTAGCGGCGCGAGATTTGCTGATACGCGACAACATTACACACACCCATTTTCTTCTGGTGTCACTGCCCTCTTCTCATCGTTCAATTTCGTCGTCACCATCAGAGATATGGAGACCTTACTGGTGAATTGCGTCGAGAAAAACCTTAGCCAATTCATGCTCACCAACGCCATCTTCCTTTGCGAACGTCTTCTCGCCGAATTCCCCTCTGAGGTGTTCATTTTCCTTCTTTTTCCGATTTCCCAATTTCAATTTCTCGTGATCGATCAAATGATTTTCATCGGTTAAGGACTGATTTCGTTTTGCTTTTCGATTTTTCTCTAATTACAAATGGTTCCTGTCTCTCTCGCTGTCTGATCCGATCTTCTAGCTCTATCATTTTTTCTTTTCCCCGAATAAAGGATTCTCGAATTTGTTTAGGCAGAATCGAATTCTGGGCGTTTTCAAGGATTAAACTCTTTCTCTATCCAGTTGGATTCGAGGAAGTTTAAAATTGGGTAAACATTCAATTTGACTGAAATGTTTATGATTCCGGGTTGATTTTGTGAATTTCTTCCGACACTAAAGCTTTTTTATTGAAAAAATTGTGTGTTTGTGGACTTCTAAATCATGTCTCTGTTAGCTTATCAGTAGATATGTTAGCCAAATTGAGGCTTTTTTTTCTTTTCCAAAACCTTAACTCGAATTTGACCTTCATTATGTAGGTGAACCTGCAATTGTTAGCAAGGTGTTACTTGAGTAATAGCCAAGCTTATAGTGCATATTATATCCTCAAAGGTAACTACATTCTTCCAGCCTCTGCTTATAAATGCAACACCTTGTGTATATTGGTTGTTTTATCTTTTAAACATATTTTTTTGAATCCAAAGGTTCAAAAACGCCTCAGTCTCGGTATCTGTTTGCATTCTCATGCTTCAAGTTGGAACTTCATGGAGAAGCTGAAGCCTCTTTGTTGCCCAGTGAAGAATATGTTGAAGAAGTAATATGGCATTTGCTTTTCTTCTTCTCTTGCTAAAACTTTGAGAAACTGACTTTTCCATGGAAATGATAATATAGTCATTTGGGAGTGAAAAATTGACCAAGGTTGTATTTTTAACATGCAGATTCCTGGTGGTGCAGCCGGGCATTATCTTCTCGGTCTTATATATAGGTGACGAATATTGACTTTGAAAGCTCTATATCAGATATTGTTGGCTCTCACATTCTTAAAACTTCTCTGTCTTGGTTTAGTGATGCTGTAACAAGCTTGTTAATTTGCTGCATCTCTTAACTTTTGATGGTATTAGCTTCTGATGTGTGTTGCTCTCTGTTACATGCTACCAGATACGCTGGGAGGAAGAACAGTTCAATACAACAGTTTAGGAAGGCCTTGTCGTTTGATCCATTGTGCTGGGAAGCATATAGAGAACTTTGTAGTTTAGGTAAGTCAAAGCTCTATATGAGTCATGTATTTATCAGTTTATGTTTCGGTTATTCGAGATGGAAACGTGAGACAACAGAGTTGTTTCTTTTATATGGCGATCTGCCATCACCTTTTCAGGTGCCGCTGAAGAAGCCTCTACGGTTTTCGGCAATGTGGCTGCTCAGCGTCTTCAGATGACTTGCGTCTCACAAAGAATAAACTTCTCAGAAGGAGAAACCAATACTATAGACCAGCGTACAGATTCTGATAAGGCCTCAACAAAAGATACAAGTTTATGGCAACCAGAAGATGTTCCAGAAGAGAACCAACAAAATATGGAAACTAAGCAGCTTGCAGTAGATATTCCTTCAGGTATTGACAAGGCACATAACAGTGCTTCTCACACGAATGGATGGGACTTGAACACGCCTTCTCCAGTGCTTTTACAGGTGATCTTTATTGAGGACGCATTAGTTACTGTTTCTAGCTCAAAATAATCATTTTTCTGAATGTTTGCACTATAGTATTACCTCCTTGAGGTTCCTTATCTCTAAGTATCTTTATTTTTCAGGCATTGGAGGCTCCACCACCTATGCTCTATAAGAACTAGATGGACCCATACTTACCCAAACATGGATTAATAGGTTCTACACATGACTATGAGGACAAACATGAGTGAAACGGTCTCAATCCAAGGGAGGAACATCAAATGGACCAATTTGGGAACCGGAAGAGGTAAGGAGTCCGAAATGTACCTCTGTGACTCCACATTGAGGAAACTCACTTGTAGTGTATAAGATGAACTAGATGGACCCATACTTACCCAAACATGGATTAATAGCTTCTACACATGACTATGAGGACAAACATGAGTGAAACGGTCTCAATCCAAGGGAGGAACATCAAATGGACCTAATTTGGGAACCGGAAGAGGTAAGGAGTCCGAAATGTACCTCTGTGACTCCACATTGTGGAAACTCACTTGTAGTGTATAAGATGAACTAGATGGACCCATACTTACCCAAACATGGATTAATAGCTTCTACACATGACTATGAGGACAAACATGAGTGAAACGGTCTCAATCCAAGGGAGGAACATCAAATGGACCTAATTTGGGAACCGGAAGAGGTAAGGAGTCCGAAATGTACCTCTGTGACTCCACATTGTGGAAACTCACTTGTAGTGTATAAGATGAACTAGATGGACCCATACTTACCCAAACATGGATTAATAGCTTCTACACATGACTATGAGGACAAACATGAGTGAAACGGTCTCAATCCAAGGGAGGAACATCAAATGGACCTAATTTGGGAACCGGAAGAGGTAAGGAGTCCGAAATGTACCTCTGTGACTCCAGATTGAGGAAACTCACTTGTAGTGTATAAGATGAACTAGATGGACCCATACTTACCCAAACATGGATTAATAGCTTCTACACATGACTATGAGGACAAACATGAGTGAAACGGTCTCAATCCAAGGGAGGAACATCAAATGGACCTAATTTGGGAACCGGAAGAGGTAAGGAGTCCGAAATGTACCTCTGTGACTCCACATTGTGGAAACTCACTTGTAGTGTATAAGATGAACTAGATGGACCATACTTACCCAAACATGGATTAATAGCTTCTACACATGACTATGAGGACAAACATGAGTGAAACGGTCTCAATCCAAGGGAGGAACATCAAATGGACCTAATTTGGGAACCGGAAGAGGTAAGGAGTCCGAAATGTACCTCTGTGACTCCAGATTGAGGAAACTCACTTGTAGTGTATAAGATGAACTAGATGGACCCATACTTACCCAAACATGGATTAATAGCTTCTACACATGACTATGAGGACAAACATGAGTGAAACGGTCTCAATCCAAGGGAGGAACATCAAATGGACCTAATTTGGGAACCGGAAGAGGTAAGGAGTCCGAAATGTACCTCTGTGACTCCACATTGTGGAAACTCACTTGTAGTGTATAAGATGAACTAGATGGACCATACTTACCCAAACATGGATTAATAGGTTCTACACATGACTATGAGGACAAACATGAGTGAAACGGTCTCAATCCAAGGGAGGAACATCAAATGGACCTAATTTGGGAACCGGAAGAGGTAAGGAGTCCGAAATGTACCTCTGTGACTCCAGATTGAGGAAACTCACTTGTAGTGTATAAGATGAACTAGATGGACCATACTTACCCAAACATGGATTAATAGCTTCTACACATGACTATGAGGACAAACATGAGTGAAACGGTCTCAATCCAAGGGAGGAACATCAAATGGACCTAATTTGGGAACCGGAAGAGGTAAGGAGTCCGAAATGTACCTCTGTGACTCCAGATTGAGGAAACTCACTTGTAGTGTATAAGATGAACTAGATGGACCCATACTTACCCAAACATGGATTAATAGCTTCTACACATGACTATGAGGACAAACATGAGTGAAACGGTCTCAATCCAAGGGAGGAACATCAAATGGACCTAATTTGGGAACCGGAAGAGGTAAGGAGTCCGAAATGTACCTCTGTGACTCCACATTGAGGAAACTCACTTGTAGTGTATAAGATGAACTAGATGGACCCATACTTACCCAAACATGGATTAATAGCTTCTACACATGACTATGAGGACAAACATGAGTGAAACGGTCTCAATCCAAGGGAGGAACATCAAATGGACCTAATTTGGGAACCGGAAGAGGTAAGGAGTCCGAAATGTACCTCTGTGACTCCACATTGTGGAAACTCACTTGTAGTGTATAAGATGAACTAGATGGACCATACTTACCCAAACATGGATTAATAGCTTCTACACATGACTATGAGGACAAACATGAGTGAAACGGTCTCAATCCAAGGGAGGAACATCAAATGGACCTAATTTGGGAACCGGAAGAGGTAAGGAGTCCGAAATGTACCTCTGTGACTCCAGATTGAGGAAACTCACTTGTAGTGTATAAGATGAACTAGATGGACCATACTTACCCAAACATGGATTAATAGCTTCTACACATGACTATGAGGACAAACATGAGTGAAACGGTCTCAATCCAAGGGAGGAACATCAAATGGACCTAATTTGGGAACCGGAAGAGGTAAGGAGTCCGAAATGTACCTCTGTGACTCCACATTGGGAAACTCACTTGTAGTGTATAAGATGAACTAGATGGACCCATACTTACCCAAACATGGATTAATAGGTTCTACACATGACTATGAGGACAAACATGAGTGAAACGGTCTCAATCCAAGGGAGGAACATCAAATGGACCTAATTTGGGAACCGGAAGAGGTAAGGAGTCCGAAATGTACCTCTGTGACTCCACATTGAGGAAACTCACTTGTAGTGTATAAGATGAACTAGATGGACCCATACTTACCCAAACATGGATTAATAGGTTCTACACATGACTATGAGGACAAACATGAGTGAAACGGTCTCAATCCAAGGGAGGAACATCAAATGGACCTAATTTGGGAACCGGAAGAGGTAAGGAGTCCGAAATGTACCTCTGTGACTCCACATTGTGGAAACTCACTTGTAGTGTATAAGATGAACTAGATGGACCCATACTTACCCAAACATGGATTAATAGGTTCTACACATGACTATGAGGACAAACATGAGTGAAACGGTCTCAATCCAAGGGAGGAACATCAAATGGACCTAATTTGGGAACCGGAAGAGGTAAGGAGTCCGAAATGTACCTCTGTGACTCCATTGTGGAAACTCACTTGTAGTGTATAAGATGAACTAGATGGACCCATACTTACCCAAACATGGATTAATAGGTTCTACACATGACTATGAGGACAAACATGAGTGAAACGGTCTCAATCCAAGGGAGGAACATCAAATGGACCTAATTTGGGAACCGGAAGAGGTAAGGAGTCCGAAATGTACCTCTGTGACTCCACATTGTGGAAACTCACTTGTAGTGTATAAGATGAACTAGATGGACCCATACTTACCCAAACATGGATTAATAGGTTCTACACATGACTATGAGGACAAACATGAGTGAAACGGTCTCAATCCAAGGGAGGAACATCAAATGGACCTAATTTGGGAACCGGAAGAGGTAAGGAGTCCGAAATGTACCTCTGTGACTCCAGATTGAGGAAACTCACTTGTAGTGTATAAGATGAACTAGATGGATACTTACCCAAACATGGATTAATAGCTTCTACACATGACTATGAGGACAAACATGACTGAAACGGTCTCAATCCAAGGGAGGAACATCAAATGGACCTAATTTGGGAACCGGAAGAGGTAAGGAGTCCGAAATGTACCTCTGTGACTCCACATTGAGGAAACTCACTTGTAGTGTATAAGATGAACTAGATGGACCCATACTTACCCAAACATGGATTAATAGGTTCTACACATGACTATGAGGACAAACATGAGTGAAACGGTCTCAATCCAAGGGAGGAACATCAAATGGACCTAATTTGGGAACCGGAAGAGGTAAGGAGTCCGAAATGTACCTCTGTGACTCCAGATTGAGGAAACTCACTTGTAGTGTATAAGATGAACTAGATGGACCCATACTTACCCAAACATGGATTAATAGGTTCTACACATGACTATGAGGACAAACATGAGTGAAACGGTCTCAATCCAAGGGAGGAACATCAAATGGACCTAATTTGGGAACCGGAAGAGGTAAGGAGTCCGAAATGTACCTCTGTGACTCCACATTGTGGAAACTCACTTGTAGTGTATAAGATGAACTAGATGGACCCATACTTACCCAAACATGGATTAATAGGTTCTACACATGACTATGAGGACAAACATGAGTGAAACGGTCTCAATCCAAGGGAGGAACATCAAATGGACCTAATTTGGGAACCGGAAGAGGTAAGGAGTCCGAAATGTACCTCTGTGACTCCACATTGTGGAAACTCACTTGTAGTGTATAAGATGAACTAGATGGACCCATACTTACCCAAACATGGATTAATAGGTTCTACACATGACTATGAGGACAAACATGAGTGAAACGGTCTCAATCCAAGGGAGGAACATCAAATGGACCTAATTTGGGAACCGGAAGAGGTAAGGAGTCCGAAATGTACCTCTGTGACTCCACATTGTGGAAACTCACTTGTAGTGTATAAGATGAACTAGATGGACCCATACTTACCCAAACATGGATTAATAGGTTCTACACATGACTATGAGGACAAACATGAGTGAAACGGTCTCAATCCAAGGGAGGAACATCAAATGGACCTAATTTGGGAACCGGAAGAGGTAAGGAGTCCGAAATGTACCTCTGTGACTCCACATTGAAACTCACTTGTAGTGTATAAGATGAACTAGATGGACCCATACTTACCCAAACATGGATTAATAGGTTCTACATGACTATGAGGACAAACATGAGTGAAACGGTCTCAATCCAAGGGAGGAACATCAAATGGACCTAATTTGGGAACCGGAAGAGGTAAGGAGTCCGAAATGTACCTCTGTGACTCCACATTGTGGAAACTCACTTGTAGTGTATAAGATGAACTAGATGGACCCATACTTACCCAAACATGGATTAATAGGTTCTACACATGACTATGAGGACAAACATGAGTG